ATAATGAAAATAACTAAATATAGAGGAAAACCTATAAAAACTTATAAAATATATATTAAATTTGAAAAAAACCTAAAATTTAGAATGTTTTTTATAGATGTATTCATAATCTTCCAGTGAAGAGGTGAAGCATAAATAACATTATTGAATTATGTATATTGAAAATTTTTGTGAAGACCTTCACGGGATTCATCTATTTTATGATGATGCGCTTGCCAGTCTCCTTAATTAGTTTAAAAGCTTGCATACCAAATATCGTGAGAGTGTAGACGTTGAAAGGGATGAAAAGATATGAATTAGATAAATTAATATATTTATTAATTTTTGAGATTTCCTGGGAGATTGCGTGTTTATTTATGCTACTAGATGGGGAAATAGGGTAGGTAAACAAAATATTACAAACTAATAATTGATCTCTGGTCCATAAGATTAATTATACTTTCTAGACGACGTTTCTATCTATTCTGAGGAGCCCACTAGGTTCTTGTTTTGAAGAATGAATTTGATGGTGCACTGACAATGCAGAAGGGAAAACGGCCGTTGCAGTATTAACAATGGAGACTCTGTCTGCCTATTGCATCGGTATATTTTTCGACATGGGCTACATAAGTGTAGTGTCACAATGTTACAACTAAATGTTGACTGTTGTATAACAAACTTCTATGTGGGATAAAAAAAAGGCCTAATTCATAGATGGGATTGCTTCTAGAATTTCGTTGCCACTCAAATGGAAAATAAAGCGTATCCAACTCTTGATGGCTATATTTTAAGTTATCCAACATCTTTCAACGAAAGAGGGATCCCAATCTATCGAATAGAGAAAGTGTGAGATGTGTTATGCAGGATTGAAAAGTCTCAGGTGATCTTTGCATCATCTAGAAGATGGTCTGGTTTGACTGTTAGTTTGATTATTGATTATTTACAGTAAATCATGTGGAAATCATAAGCGGATCCTTTGGTTTTAGATGGTAGGCTTATTTCCAGAAACTGTAGTCGAATTTTAAATTTGACTAATCTTATTTTTATATATTCTCAGTACCTCTGAGAATTTGAAGATAGTAGTATAGAGTAAAATGCCTTCACATTTATTTATCTAAAATGTTTGAATTATAGCCGTTATTTTAAAAGATTTTAACCTTATTATTGCAGATCTATTCAGATCACCATAAATTCTGTTTAGGGCCACGAGAAAGATTGCGTCTACGCAAACATGCCTAGAGTCTGTGGATTTCGAAATGATCATAAAAAAATTATCGTTGTTTCCATTTGTGTCTGTCGTAGAGGGAGGCATGTGGAATTTCTTCCCCTTAGGTAATTTATCTGTTCTCGCGAATATCATTTTAAGCTAATAAAAAAATTCCGCTGCACCCCCCTCCCTCTAAAAATCTATAAACATTACTATACAGTTATTTGAAAGATATGTAAAAAAGTGATAATTTTTTAAAATAATGACTATAATTCAAAATTTTTAGAAATAATCATTTTTTATAAAAAAAGGAAAACTAAAATTATTATCATGGTTCCGTCTATGGTCTGGCAAAGTCTCAGAATAGTATATGGTTGAAATGCCCCTCAAAAATCAACAAAATCTCCTTTCACCATATTAAAGCTTAACCCATAACTTCATAAAACAGTAAATTAACCATGGGGCTTTGCAATTAATTTTATCATTAATATTTTTCTTATCTAATCATCAACATTGATATAGACAAGGACGCATTAGAGAGACCAGTTTTAGATATATTTTTGACCCCGTGATTTTTTTTTGCCAAGATTTGTATTTTTTTTGTTAATTTTCGATTTTGATTTCCTATATTTGTTTCTGCTAATTTTATATTTAGACACCTTTTTATGAATGTCCCAAATTGAAATCTTGGATATGCTCCCTGGATATAGGTAAAGCTTTATATTAAAATAGTTTATTTACGAGTGACAATTATTAATGTTAATAATATGTTAATATCCCAAAAGCTATTGGGTTAAAATTTGGGAAAACACTCAATAAACATGATAGCTAAGGAAATATATTATAAATAAATCCAATTTCTTTTACTTGATTCCAATTTTAGCGAAATTATACAATTTTTTTAAAATATAAATAAATAATTGTTTTAATTGTTCCTATTCGGTATAAATTTCCAAATTTTAGTATCTAATCATTTTATAGTATTATTATATTTCTAATACGACTAATTCATTCGTAGGCCTATAATAATGATAAACTATATAATTAATTTATCACAAAAATAATATAACCACTTGAAAAGTATATTTTTATTTTAGCCTTTTAGTCGCCTCCATCTTGTTATATATTGTATTTATAATGCTATACAATCATAAAAATAATTAAGGGGGCAATTCGTCTAAGATAAAAGTAACATTACTGTGGAAACTTAAATATATATTTTTTTAAATATATGCTAATCAAATTCACTGGAAAAAACAACAAAAGGAACACTCATTTTCATTTATATGTTGCAATAATTTGTAACAAATCTTTAGAACAATTATTTTTTAAATTCCGTGGTGTATTTTATATTTTACATCCATTATATTGTTTATTTTTTTAATTTTATACTCTGTTGTGTTTCTACATTTAAGTTTCTAGATGAATGATGATCTGATCACATTATAAAGAATGGTTATTTTTTGAAAGAAATAAATTTTTATTTGATGTTAATAAATTCCCCAAAATATATCAAAACAGGATAATTTATATTTAATATTTTTTGCATTATGTATTATGGAAGTAATTATTATATTATATCAATTCATAATAGATTTGCAAGTTGGCTAATGCAAACTTAAGAACACATGGAAGTGATCCATCATAACTTAATTAGCTACTATAAAACGAATAAATATATAATAGTATAATAGATAAAACTCAAAAAATAACTAATTTCTATTAATATTCGCAATTATTATAGCTAATACATTAAGTCATTTCTATACAATCTTCATAATTATGAAATAATGATATTAATAGATTTTAATTAAAGCGAAAAAATATTAATTACTGTTGAGAACATCATTTTATACTATAAATCTTATATTATATTCAGTTTTATTCTTTAAAATACCCAGCGAGGGCAACGATAGTTGATTATCTTAAAATTAAAACTGATTTTCTATAGTAAAAAATATATCTAGTCCTCTTTAGTAACCACGATAATCGCGATGCAATGTTCATGGTTAAACTATATCATAGCCCTATTATTTAACATCATATATTTTATAATTTAATCCACGCGATTAGATGTCGCCTAATTTTCACAGTTACCATAAATAAGGGCTTATATTTTCTAATATTGAATTTTAGATTTACCTTTTATAAGATTAAATTTTCTGATAAAATATTTATGGGGCATGAAGGCTTAGTTGGGGGGCTGGAAGATGTCCTGTTAATATAATTAATTTTTTTAAATAAATGCCGAGTTCATTGAATAATTTTATTTTTGTCTATTTTCCCTAACTTCTTAAAATAATTTTAAGCGAGGGAGAACTTATGGTTTAAATATCATGTGCTCCTATGGAGCCCGTCATGGAGGAATAGATGGCTCGTATTGACTTAACAACCCTGCCTTACACATCAATTAAATTTATAATTAAGGTATATACTATTATTCAAAAAAAGGGTTATATGAATATTTTAGTACAAAATAAGACAGGCTTTTTTAAGAGTATAGAATGCATATATGAACTACAATTTTTTTTAGCCACATATAAACATGATTGAAAATGGTAAGTTGGGTTTAAAAAAAGATATTAGTCACTATGGTTTAATATTTTAGAAAAAAGATCTAGTTATTAACCCCCAGAATAAGCAAGCTATAATTAGGATAACCTAATTCAAATCTGCAAAAAATAATCAGGACAAAAAATAAGAGAGAAATATGTTTGATTTGCGAAGCATATTATTATCTTTATATATATTAGTATACAATGAAATTTTTATGATAAAATATCTTACAAAAATCGGTATAAAACTAGAGCCTGTATGGACCGATACGAGTTCGAATACCATCCAATTCCAATTCTACCAAACTTATCGAACTCAAGCAGACATTTTAATGGGCTCGGTCGAATTACCTTGATAAATTTTATTTAAGACCAAACCGCACTCAGACACGGACCTCGATTCGATTTTTTTAGAATTATTTTGTTTTCCTAAGGTTTTTTTAAAAACTCCAAAAACAATCATAAAATTGCTTATTATTATTAAAAAAATCAGATGGAACTAGAATCTTTGAAAGAATAAATCTCGAATAGAATCAGCAGGACAAACATTTTTTAAAAATTTTCGGATCGGATAAACTTGGAAAAGTAAGTCCTGCACAAAGAGGATACGAACAAACTTGAATGTATTTAATAAACATATTCTACCATTATTTCGGGTTTAGCTATCCAATCTTATTTATCAGAGATGCCAAGGATTTAACTTTCTAACCCACTTTCCTTTTCAGTTCAGCTTTCTTACCCTATCACCCCCCCCCTTAGCTTATTCCTCATTTTGTTATTTCCTGTTTCATTTTCTGTCCTTTAGTTAAGTTACAGATCCTAGCTCTAAACATTTTATATTTATTTGTAGCCATAGATCATATTTTTTTTTCGAAATCCTGGATTTCCTTTAAAATCTCCCTTGCATTCAAATTGTAAATGAGAAGATCTCTTTGATATCATTTTTTTAAATTATCTGGTCAGCCATTGAAGGAAAGTTGGGATGAAATTTTTCCCCTATGGATTACGAAATTTAATGCAGCATAAAAAATGTTAGTTTTAAAATTTTATATAAAATTATTTAATATATTATAATCAAAAATATATAACCTTTTATTTTTAGATCTTTGAATCTAAACCCTATTTTGAACCGAAGTTAATCTCTCATCCCAAAAAATGAGCTTTGAAAAATACATTTCAAAATATTTTAGGAAATTAAAAAATAAAAAATTTTTAATTTTATTTCTCAATTGAATCAGGTAATCTTTTACGAACTCGATATGGGTCCTTGCAAAGAATCTTTAGAAAGAGTTTGCAAATTTTATGCATGTTAGACTTAATAACCTCTTCAGGCCCGTAGCAGGGAATTTTTATTTGTATGTTTTGAAATAAAATAAATGGTCACACAATCATAGAAAATTTTCGCTAAAATTTTCAAATGCAAAGAACAATTAATATACAAATAAGTCGAACAAGGATATAGATTAAGAACTAAATTTTATTGATCTCTGATACTTGATTAAACCCTCTTGAGTGTAGAGAATGAGGTCTCAGAAAAAGATGTTGATACCCTAATGATATAGTTGCTGAATAGCATTTATATAATTAACTAAATGCAAAATAATATTTACAAAATCATGTCTTCCTGCTACTTCAGCCGTTAATATTTACGATATTTTCATTTAATGATGTAATGTTTCAAAATTAAGGTTCAATAAGGACACCTTGGAGCCATTTTATCTGCAATAATATAAATTTGGTCAAGGGGGGAATGTATTAAAACATGATAAATGGTTTTAGTATACTCGTCAGAAACGTTCAACAAAATAATCAACTATATTTCATAATAATATCATTTTTAAAAAATTTTCCATAATCAAATTCTAGTTTGGTATCAACCAAAAGATTAAGAAGATTTTTAGGTGTATTACCGAAAATTTGAAGATTTTTCGGGGTCGGATATATTTTTGATATAAGATTATTTTCAGTTTTAATCTTTATCAAGTATAATGAATTTTCACCTTTAATTTTTTAATATATTAATTTTGGGGTCAACACAATTTTTAGCATCCATTATATTAGTATTTACTGACTAAAGATGCTTATTTAATCGATCAATTGTTGTTACTATTTCATAAATCCTAACGGCCTAAGTAATTATCATAAATAATAAGAGATAATGCCAAATGTTCAGTCTATCTCTTGTCCAAAAGTCTCTTAAAAGTATGGCCTGTATATTTAAAGGATATGTTAAAACGCCCAAAGAAACTATACAATTCGTTTGCTTAATTGAAAAATTAAAAATACAGAAATTCTACCAATTATTAACAACAAGATATAACTTGTGATTGAAACAATGTATGCGACACCTTTATATTAATCTTTTGGAGCAAAGTTGATACTTCTCCATTTTCCCCAGACATGGCATTTGCACAATCATCGCCTGGTTTACTATATGATACGAATTAATATTTAAATCATTAAGTTGTTTTAAAATGCAATTTGTATGTTTTAAGAAGTAAGAATTTCGAAATCAATTATTTATATTAAATTTTCTTGGATTTTTCCACAAAAAAATATACTAAAGAATTAAACTCAAATTTCCACAACCTGCTGCATTTTTGGCAAAATACGACATCTCAATGTTTTAATAATTTATTGAGATAGATTCCAACACTATTGTTGTCATTACTTCATTTTGAATTTGAGGTGATGTGTATTGAAGAAACCTTCTTAGGGCCTTAATTTTTTGATCATGCCCGGCCCAAGCTCAATTTAAAAAAAGTTTAAAAAAAAGCCCAAGCCGAGCCCGGTTCATATTTAATATTATTAAAATTTTCTATGGCCCAAGCCCATAATAAGTTTCAAAATATTTTCCCAAGCCAGGGAAACCAATATCTAAAAATTTAATTTATTGTATTTAGAAAATAAACAATATTTAAATGTATTTATTTGTGCATTGTTTACAATCCTGAAATTTATTATTCTTGGAAGAAAAAAATTGCAATATATTTTTAAGTTAGCAACTGTTGAAATAATCTAAATTTAAATTTAAAAAATGTAAGCCTTGGCACATTAAAAAAATATTCAAAAACCCAGGCCCGACCTAGGCCGATAGAAAATAAAATAGAATGCTCATGAATGTCTCTATTGTATTAAGCATTTTTTTGGTATTGCTTTTATTTTTTAATTTTTCATCTTTTTGGCAGGCGTATCAAAACATTGCAATAAAATGTCCAGGAATAAACTCTATTTTCATCTGCAGTATCAGAAAGGAAGCTTTTGTATGCTGAGAAATTGAATCAAACTAAATATCAATTTCAAATAATTATCGATTACGTTCAACTTGATGGTTCACCAAAATTGTCAATGTCTGTATCCTTTTTATATTACCATTTTTATCAAACCATATTGAATTTAAATGACCTTTAGAAATCTCAGGTTTTAACAACCATAATTCTTCTAGGAATTTTGTTGTTTTTCCATTTTTATTTAATGGTTATTGGCGAATAAAAATTTAATAACGATTTTTTTTTAAAATATTGGACACAAAATCATCATCGTAATATTAATCATATATTTACCTTTTCATATAAACTGACCAACTTAATTAATTTAATGCAATAAATTATAGTATTGGTAAATAGCTCGGCTCTCTCTAGGCAACAACTGATGTTGATGTTTTAGCCTCCCCCCCCCACTAAAAAAATTTGTGGGAAGTAAGCATCTCGCTTAGAATCCAAGCCTCAAAAAATTTCTCGAAAATAGAAGATATTTTTGGGTACATCTGAAGGCGCGAGACTTCTCGAGCGGAGCTTATCACTAACACTAGCCAGTTTCAAGGCGTTTCGACTTCACCCACGATGAGGTAACATTTTATTTATTCATATGATTTATACTTACGTTAATTTAAATAAGAAATAATTTGCGCTAGGATAATTGCCCTAAATTTTTAATGTTCATCGAGAATCTTTATAAACATTTTTAGCCTTAGAGACAATACTTACCTGATTCTGCAAATTAAAAAAAAATCCCTGGCTATTTAAATATAGCTCTGATTATATCATACAACTAAAAGTGTAAATGGAAATTATCAGGTTATTCAAATATAGAATAACAATTTCTATTTCAACCTATAACTAATTTTTCAGATATTTTTTTATGAAATATATTCATATTCATATATCCACAAAGTAAAATAACTTTTTTTATTTATTGTACATCAATAAGCATTCAAATTATATTAATCTTTTATAAAAGAAAAAAAAATTACACAAATTGTAAAATATTGTTATAATATTGTGATACATTTAAATTGTAATTCTACCTACCTCCCTTGAAGTAATATAAAAGTATTTCACTATGATCGGTTTGTATGCAATATGTATATTCTATGGAGTTCTTCGAGGGAAATTAATATTCCAACAATTGGTACTATCATCTAAATTTTTTAAATTTTATTAGAAAAAATTACACGATATTATATAAAATAGAAATTACTATTCCTGTCACAACAAAAAATTTGTTTAGCTAATTCAAAATGCAATCTATTATTAATTTTAATATATATTTTTTTAAAATTATGTTTATTTAAATCGATGAATATCTGGGATTAAGGGCTAAATGTCCATATTAGTAAATTCAGTGACGAAAATTATATTATTATACCATATATCATTTAATAGTTTTAAAAAAAAAAATTATTTGGCTAATCTCTAAAGCCACACGATGTATTGATCTACGGTAGAATTTCTGGGTTGGAACCGGGGTATCATGGAATGCACGTACATCAAATAGGAAATTTAAGCGGAAGTATATTAATATTATGATGAATTATTTCATATCTTTTTTTACACTTTTAAAATATAGTATATATAATACAAATGATATAGTGTTTTTATATTTATTTTATAAACAAGAATTAATATAAATTACAAGAGCATGATTAATTAAGAATTTCATTTTAAATATATAATAATCTAAATTCTTTAATCAATCGCGTAGTTAGTGGTGGAGTAGCGGCGTTGAATAAATTTAATTTTATTTACTAAACATAATTAAAAAGAAACTACTATAATAATATTTATTACTCAAATTATTAATATCCAATTCAACCATTTTATTAGATTATAATGATCATGAAAAAAAATTATTTATTTAGATTCGAAGAGCTTAAAGATATTCTGGAGTTCAAACTCAAAGTGAACCTAGCTATTTAAAAATACACTCTCGTTTTATATGCTTCTAGCTGAAACACATAAGATTTTTTTGCTAAATCGAAAGTGGTAAGATTCAATTAATATTTTCCAAAATAGAACTCTATTGTCCTTGACATGAGATTACAAATAACACTTGTTTTTTAGACTGATAAGAATGTTATTTAGTATAATATTTTAAGATAGGATTCTGAAGTCAACTTGGCGGTTTCACAGTTTGCTAGATTGTCCATGAAAGGCAGCAGAAAGAAACGTATCGTGTTGAAATTGCACTGGAATAGCATTTTTTCTTTTAAATATCCATTAATATTTATTGATTGAAAACGAGGGTTCAAAAATGCTCCCGATTCCTCAGTATAAAAAAATAATTTTCCTATCTTATGAATATTAATTTAACTCAGAAATAATAAGGATGTGTGTACTTATTTAATCTTTAACCATAAATGTTGATTTTAGAATTAGATATTTGAAGTATAAGCGATTACCAGGGTACATATGTATTACAAAACTATCATTATATTTTTCTATCTAATGATCATCAACTTAGTTCCGAAATATTGCGTGTATTTATTTAATCTTTAACCATCTAAATTGATTTTTGAATCGTTTTGAAATATACGCGAGTACCAGGATACACTTCTATTTTGAATTCAATATGTTTTTAAACTATCCATTTAAAATGCTTGATATAGAAATATATTTTCGCCTAAAATACAATAAAAAAATCCAGGTTAAAATTGACATATTTTGTAATAACAAAATGCTGCCATATTCCTCAAAACCGTTCTAGCATCAATTGATTGAAAATAATTCGGTCTAAATTTATTTATTAATCATTATTAATTTTTTTTACGAAACGAAATGATCTAGATTGCCAAGGGGCAGGCCCACATTTTAACCCTTTTGATAAGGTTCATGGAGCCCCGTCATCGCCATTTAGGTTAGCTAATAAAAAAAACAATTTTATTGATATCGTAAGTATTAAGTTGTTCGATTTATAAGGATGATATAATATTTTTGTCTGCTAAAATAAAATTGGGTTTTTTATTTTATTTTAACGGGGTAGCCTAAAGAATATATTTATCAAATATGGATTAAAATATTCAACACGTTAACTCTTAACATTTCGTAAAAATAAATGTATAAACATATATGAATTTTAAGAAAATATTGGCGGTTTTTGCATAACAAATTTGGTCAATTATTTTAAAAACATACAAGACACGTTGGAGATTTGGGGAATGCATTTACGTCGGGGGATGATTTTATAGTGGGGAATGTATTTTTAGCAAATAGGATACCTAGAAATGGAATAACTAGAGTTGGAATAACTAAAATAACCAAATGGGACTCTCTTATAAGTTTGCTGGATAACGAAAGAAATATCATGGGAAGAGCCTTAGTAGTAATAATAGCTCAAATAATTTTTATTTTATTTCCCTCCCGTTATTTATGTGCGTTTGTTAATAAATTTTAAGAATAAAAATGTATTGTTAATTTTTACAATAATACTTGTTAATTTAATTTGTTTGAATTATATTTAGGTTCACGCTCTAAGAGACGATTTGGGATTGGGGGGAAATGAAGAAAGCTTGAGGACGGGCAATTCAGGAGGACGCGTGGATTGTTGTATCATAGAACCTTATTATCCTCCAGAAAGAGTTTCTTATTTAAATAGAAACGGTTAGATCTATGCAATTTTTATTATATTTTTTTATAAATCATTAAAACAAAATTTGAAATATACAATTTTTTTTTTAAAACTTTTTTTTATTGCCAGCATGCTTTAGATATTATAATCTGCGCATTAAAATTGTGATATTTTTATTATAATTTGAAGTATTATAAAAAAAGTAAGTATGAGTTTGATTTATATTTATCAATAAATATTTAGTCAGTCATGTTGGACTTCTCCTTCATTCCTATAATATAATGCCCAGTTAATAGCCGAAAGCCTCTTATATGGTGAACATGCAAAATATACATGTTATATCTTATTCGACAAATGATGGGTGTAACAAGGTAGGGAAAGAAAAAAAAATTGTTTACTATTAGATGCTCTACTGCTGGTTAGCTTAATTAATTTTTTATGATCTGAACAAAGTTATCGAGATACGGTATTGTTGTCTGTATACGATCTATGTGTATGTTGTTAATATTTTTGTCTTGAGTCAACCCGAGCATTGCAAATATGTATATAACAAAGAGTCATCGAAATTATCTGAAATTCAGAGATTAGGTATTCTACATAAACTTGATTATTATAGCGGCAAAATCAAAATTTTTATTAAGGATCTCTACAAATGATTGTGACGTTTTTCAATTTAAATTATTTAATTCGCTCGTTTATTAAATTTGAAATATCTGAAATTGCCCGAATGAAGAGATTTCAATCAATAACGCCAACAATATGTGCCTTACAAGTTTGCACTTATTTTGAGATTCTAAACTTATAAATTAAATATCAAAGAAACCTAGAATTTCTACATGTCTACACCCAAATATAAAAAAGCGTTAACCAATGTTCATTCGGGTTTCCTAAAATAAAAATTTCATATTTATGCATTTAACGCCCATTTTTGGAGATATATTTAATAAGCTAGTAAATATATTTTTTTTCCACTGATTATTAAATAAAAATAGATTTATATTAATAGATATATTCTCTAATTTTTATTTAATAAAAAATTTATTAAAATATATTTTAAAAAATATTTCTGAAAAGTATTTTTAATAATAAAATTTTGATTCATACTTCTATAAAATTTCGATACATTTTATTTTATAGCTATGGTTTTAAGGAGCATGTATGCAAATTTTTAAATTCTGAGCCTTAATATAGTTAAAAAATTAAAGGGTGATTTTTATAATTTTTGGGTACAAATTATGTCAAACCGGAAATGATTTTCACAAGATGAGCTTAGGTATGAAATTAGGTATAAAAATACATCTTCCCAAATTTAAAGCTTTTATGCTAAAGGGAATTATTCGCGTTAACATTGTTACCTCTTCACTCGCTCTACTCAAGTCTCCCCTATTTTCTTCAATTAGTTCTCTCTTTTAACCTTCATTGATATAAAACGGTTTTTATCAGGCATCATATGACTTTTTTAACGGAATTATAAATTTTTTTAATAATATCTATAATATAGTCTCAAAAAAAGCTTTCAGCCTTTATAATATTTGGATTTGATAAAACACCTTTTTTCTTGACCAATTTTTTTGCAAATTTTTTTTTATAACGGCGGGGTTAAATAGCCGGTCGGCGGGGCGTGCAATATGATAAATTATTATATATAAAATTGTTACAATCCTAAAAAATTGTTTGTAAAAATCATTTTAAATTATTTCATCATAATTTAAATAGTTAGTTTGTTCAAATAATTCGATTATATCGGACATGGCTATTCACTAAGACATTCAATGATGATCTGGCGTCAATCTTCCACCTCCCTACCAGGGTAAAAGTTAAGTTACCAGACGTCCTCGATGTTTTAAAATATATCCGATATATATTTTCATTAAACTTTTACTAATTAGAAAAAGAATATTTTTTTAAAAAATCGGGAATTATAAGCTGACATATGCATTTGACGAAAAGTTTAATTGGGAAAAGAATTTAGTTATTAAAAAACTTTAAGAAAAATCGAAATAAATATTTAAAATGGAAACAGAATTCAAGTAGATGAAACAAAAGAGAGCTTATTAATATTATGTTAATATACACGTTTGAATTGATTTTAATATTTGGTAAGAACTTCATTATTGTGAAATTTTTTGTGTAATTAAAATTTAGAATGAGTTATTAATGAACTTAAAAATCAAAATATTTAATGTGACAAATAAGAAATTGAAATGAATAGACAAATATGGGCATATAATTTATGTTGACATTAAAGGATAAAGGAGGATGATAGGATATTATATTTACCTTTTATTTTTATTTAGAATACAGGGAGATAGGATGAAGTGGATAATATTTGGTATAGTGTATTAGTTAACCAAGATCAGCATAAATTAAATTGGCTTTTATCATTTGAAAATTTATGCTACAATCGAGCTCAATTAGAGATGGGATTTTTATTTGGGTAAATTTTAATAAAATTTGATATAAAAATTGGGTAGACAACATAAATTTAATATCATAAAATAAAGGGGGAAGAGGTGAAGTATTAAGGAAGAATGTATTGAATGTAAATGGAAGGATAAATGTATCAGTTTTTTGTTTATTAATTAATGATGATTCTGTAGAACAGATATAAATGAAGTAATGATTATTTTTAAATTAGTATTTTTGTTTTTTCGAAATGCGTAAAAGTATTTTGGTAAATAAATGATATAAAAAAATATTGTAGTTTCTTTTAATTTTATATTTAATTTTTTTGGTGTAAATTAATGCATGTGAGGATTAACTATTACAGGTTGATTTGATATGGTTTAGTGATAGGAAATATTTTTGAAACTATATAAGGGTAATTGTTAATGAAGAAGGGAGATGGAAGATGGAAGAAGGTATGATTATATATATATATATATACATAGTGAGAGTTAAGGTATTTGAAATGTTTTATTTTGTAGAAGACATGATTATAAAATAAAAAATGTTCACTTTATTTATATTTTATATGATTTATATATCTTTTTTATATCTAAAAATTAGAATATAAAATCCAAAGGTTAAGTTATAAAATGAAAAGTAAAAGTAAAAATAAAAGTATAATTGTACAATTTGAATAAGTTAAATATATCAGAATATAAAAGTAAAGTAATTTAATGAATGCGTGATATAAAATTTAAATATATTGCTATATATAATATTCAAATTTTTTATATAACATTCTCCCTCTTCTAAAGAGCTTTCCCATAAATTCATCTAAGCTGTCATAGAAAGCTTGTCGTTCAAATGGTTGTTCATTTTGATTGTTCAAGTCGTTGCATAAGTCATTGTAATCGTTGGCGTGTCCCAATCGTCGGTTTGTTTAAATCGTCTTTTAGTTTGCACGTTGGTTTATTTAAAACGTCTTTGAAATTGCACGTTGGTTTGTTTAAATCGTAAGCTTGATATCCTTATCGAAAGTTGTCCACAATAGTGATTTTTTCTAGTAGCTTGCTTGTAGTACTCAGTCGTTGTTATATTTTCAAAATTGTTATTATCATCATTCAATCAAGAATAATTAGAAATAATAATTGATCAATTTGAATATAAGAATGAGTGAAGAATGATAAATCAATAAGATTGTTATATAATATTTTTAGCCTTTTCATTTTTTTTTGCATTTTAGTGTTTAATTTATATTTCGCGTTTTAGTGTCCAATTTATTTTTTCGCGTTTTAGTGTTTATTTTTTCGCGTTTTAGTGTTTATTTTTTCACGTTTTAGTTTTTAATTTATTTTTATATATCATTATATTTTAAGTTATATCGTCTTTTAAATAAGCAGGTTTTTGTTTAATTTGTATTGGTCTAGAAATCGTTGTTACATTATTTTTATCAGTAGTTTTTATATTTTTGTCCACACTTCCCTAAAAGAATTCTTAGAATTGGAATCATGATTAATAAGTGTGTTAAAACAATTTCTTATTCTTAATTGATCTAAGTGTCTCCTCAAAATACCTTTATCTGTCTTAATTGGAACATCATGTCACTTTCTTTGTGTGTGACCATGCCTTTCCACCATTTGTCATCACCTTGTAGTTTGTACCAAACCAAATCTCCTACGTTAAAGGTTCTATTGCGTAATAATGTAGCGTTGATTTTGTTCTCCTTTACTTCCTATGGTTTTAATAAGTCCCATTCTCTTGGAAGGTGTAACTCCTGTAGTATCATATCGCGAGTTTCTATAATTGAATAAAAATTTGTCAAGTGCAGTATCTAAGTCAATTTTGGTATTCCTAATATGTGTTTTGAAAGTTTTCACCATACGTTCTACCTGGCCATTGGATTGCTGGTTGTATGCAGACGTGAGTACATGTTTAATACCATAATCATTGCAAAATTTTTCAAAATCATTACTTGAGAAGTTAGTGCCGTTATCAGTAACTATAGTTTCAGGTATTCCATATAACGAAATAGTTTTGAAAATTTCTTTTAAAATGATATCGGTCATAATATTTTTAACAGGAACAATAATAGGAAATTTGCTATAATAATCGACTATTATTAGCCAATTTTTTGTGAAAACGCACCCGCATAGTCTATGTATATCCTTTCAAATGGTTTGGTTGCCGAAACCCATAGTTTTTGTATCTTTTTAGGATTGTCATGATATATGTTACAATCGTCACAACTTTTCACTTCCAAGTCTATGTCATTACTTATACCAAACCACCACATATAATCTTTGGCTAAGGATTTGATTTTTACTGCTCCCAAATGCCTTCATGTAATAACTGTAGTAAGATTATCCTTAATTATACTCAAATCCAATTCAATATTTTTATAGATATTGTTCTTTATAGGTTCGTTGTTCTTAATATCATTGATGACTTGTTTTAACTCAAAATCTTCGAATGTTTCATCACGTTTTTTATTAAAATTGATAGGTATATCCCCAAAGTCACTTATAATTGTGATATTTTCAACAACTTCATCGTGACATTCTTGTGATAATCTCGAGATACAATCAGGAACAACATTATATTTACCGGATTTTATTTCATTTTTTAACACTCCTGGAATATCATAAATCT